AGTGGTACTAAGAAATGATAAAGCTTTTGTCAATTTTCTCGAAGCTTGCATCATACATTTTGTGTTTTTTTTTATATTCGTATTTCTGTCCGTGTTTAAGAATTGATTGTTCTCTCGTCTTCTCATATACAAACTATAAAACAAACTTTATAACTCGAATATAATTAGCTCATCTAACAGCCAGTTGCACAAACGTCCATTAAAATAGTCATTAATTTAAAGCGACATTACCCATACAAATATGACATTCATTAGAGCTTAAAGTCGTCATTAAACCTTAATGGACGTTTGTGCAACTGACCGTTTGAGTCATATAATTTGTACTGGACTCGCTTATGATGATTTCTTAATTATTTACCTGTTTATTAAACCGGAGTAGCAATATCACAAAAACCGTAAGCTAGTTGACGGTAGACTTATCGTTATCACACTTTCATAAAGAGATTATTATTCCTTTAGGTAGATATTGTAACGCACACGTTACTCTAAATTCAGTGTATTCTTTTTATTATTTTTTCATTTAATACTTTATGCACATTTAAAGTACAACGACGGATTTAATGCCTTAGGTATTAAGTCCGCCATTGTATTCTTCCGCCATGTTTTGTTATAGACATGTTCGTTTCCAAATAATTGGCACAACTCGAATAGCGTTATGTGTCGTAGGTTTTCTGTTCGGTCGGTCGGTCTATGAATGCAGGTCCCGGGTCTTAATCGAGGCAGAAACTTAATAGTGGTATATTGCATCTCTTCAGCAGAAATGCTTTACATCACTAGCCTATTAACGTCCCCATTGCTGAGCACCTGAGCCCCTGTTCAGGTATTCCCTATGGATGGAATTGAATCAAATTGACTAGGGATTGGTATTTAATGCTGCAGGTGTAGCCGGAACCGACGGCTTAACGTGTTTTCCGAAGCACAGTGGAGTTCGAAATGATAAATTTTTGGTCACCCATCCCTTGCGAAAGTTGCCTTAACAATCGTATCGCTGACCGAGCACGTGAACCACTGCACCATCGAGTTCCTTGAAAATATTTACCTACTAGGTGCTCATTCGAGTTAATGTTAAACCTGCTCTAGAAAGAAATTCCCGCAAAGTACGGCGTGCAAAAAAGTCGCGGGTGATAGCGTGCTTGCGCGGCCCGCGGTTACGCGGTAAGCGCGTTTGCTAATTAGTACAATTAGTGAATGATGACTTTTTTGCACATTCACTATGTTCCAAAAATATCTAATAATTAATGCAAGGATTTTTTTTGTAAGACAAATTAATAAATTACATTTTATATATTTTCTTAAATTTTATACATTTTGATTATTGACTGATTTTTAAAAATCTTTATTTATTAGACAATTTGTGGGACCGATATAAATATAATCGAAACTGAATTAGTAGTTTTTTATTATGTTTGATCAGTTGATAAGTATAAGAAATTGTATCTCAACTCTTCGTAATTTTAATTTTCTTTGTTGTTTATGGATAGCAATCAATAAAGTTTTTCATGTATTTTTAATATAAATAATGTATAACAATTAACTCGGGAAAAGTACTTACCCGATATCACAAATTTTAAGTAAACTATCACGATTCCTTCGTTGTTTGTACTAGCTGCCTAATTGTAATGTAATTAGCGTGTCAATGTATCGCAATTTGTAACTTCTAAGTACGAGTACTTACAGCGTGCGCGCCCTGCGCCTAGTTTTCGCTCGTTGCGGCTGCGCACTGGGGTGGGGATGCGCCGGCCGCCGACAACCTATTCATCCATATCTTGCTTGGTAGATGCATTGAAGCGTAGCATTGTTACATTATATAATACACATAGGATAAATAGATAGATATTTATTTGTTTTTGTATAATTGATGTATTAACATAATTAACATTTTCAAAAATTCGTTTTAACAGTCTAGCAATATAACAATTGTAATATAGGGAACCATAGTTTAATTTATGTTCATATAAATTTGTATAACAGTTTGTGCCTGCATTAATAAATAAAAAAATAAATACATGTCACAGAAATTAGGTTTTTGTTTTTCAAACTATTTTCACATTATGGGCACGACGGGTATGCCCACAAATCGTAATAGACTTCTTTAGAATCTTATTAATCAAAGAGTTAACAAACCTTCGTTGGGCGGTATGTATTTTCAAACATTTCCTTTGTAATATAATGTATGTACGTAATATAAACTATATATAACATTCAAACTACGTAGGTTTATGTATAGTCTTTGTGTTAGTTAGTATAAGCGAGTTACTTTCGACTAACACTTGACCTATTTTCGGAGTATATTTATATCGGGCTATGTATGACCACAATCTTTTTGGAGTATTTCCATTGACTTCATAGTCTAATGACGCTACTTTTCAAAATGAATTCTCTGTATGAAATAAAACAGGGAGAAAAAGCAGCCATTGCTGAGTTTCTTGCCGGTTCTTCAGAGTAGATACTAGATCTCCCGCCGTAGATTTGCCGATGGCGTAGTTTTTGCCATCCACAAGTGCTTGTAACAGCCTAGAATAAATGATATTGAATTTTAATTTGAGATCCGGATCCGCTGTCTGATAAAAGTCTGTAAAAAGTACTATTAGTGGCATATTTATTCATTGCAGGACTATGAGATTTGTGGTAATCTGATATCCTCCTTTATGTACCGATATATTGTGAAACGTGACATTAACTATATTTGCATTTGCTCAGAGTCAACGTACTGTGACTAACAACAATAAAATAATCTCAAAAAGGAAAAGCGACATCGTTTCAAAATGTGGGCGGCTACTGTTAGAAAACACTTTAGTTAAAAAACGTTATAAAATAACATTAAAAAAGATAATAAAACGGTTAATTTCATATGCTTATTAAAAAACTGATTTTAGTGGAAAATCCCTATCATAAATTAAAACTAAAGGAGATAATAATTATTAGGATTGCTAATAACGTGACAGAAAACAACCTTAATTTTATGAATGAATACAACAACAAAAGAAATAATGCTGATATATCGGGGACTCTTTAAATCAGTACAATACCCTACACGCTACCAATCTCAATATTCTGACCGTCTAATAAAACAACGACTAAAGGTACTTTGGCCTGAAGCAAATTGAAAAAGACGCAAATTGAGACGTTGAATTATTTTGGTCGGATTATAGTTTAAACCTGATATTAAAGTTAGTCCTCGTTTAATAATAAGACAGTGAAATTTGAAATTAACACTATTGTCAAGAGTTTAGTACATGCTATGCTAACTAAAAGCAAAATGCCCAGTGAAATTGAAAGAACTTTGTGTGCTGTTCGCGATCTCCTAATAGTCGAACCTTATAAGACATGAACTAATAACAATACTAATATACTTACAATACGAAAATGTAGAACTGGCAGCAGACCCGTCTTAAGTAGGTACAACAGGCGCCCGGGTGCAAGCAGTGTTTTGGCGCCCTCCTCCTTCATTACAGGGAATTTCCCGAAAATCATCGGTGCGGCGCCCGGGTGCGTTGCACCTTTTGCACCGTGGGTAAAGATAGGCTTGAGTTGCAGAAGGAAAAATCACTAATTTCAAGATCAAACTAATTGCGTGCTGTTGGAAAGTAAAGTCAGACTCAGAAGCTATAAAAACCGGCGAGCGTGTTGTGACGCTTGGCCTGCCTACCCTGTAGAGGATACGGCGTGAATATATCGATATAGTACAAAAGCTCGTGACGAGAATGTGTAAGAATCTTGTAATGGTTTGATGCTTCAGTATGTATTTGACTAAGGGAAATAGCTATTCATTTATATATATATAGATTAGTTTGGAAATGCGGCTTAGTTTCCCAACGATGTAACTATTAGCATTTGTGTTATGGAAAGGTTGAGTGTTATCTGTCTATAAGGGACTTTTCCCACCCTGAAAATTACTCAAATATCAATATGTAGTAACGTAACGTAAGTACCACAACACCTTACCCCGATATGAATTAAAAGTGCTTCGTTCGTAATAGTTAAAAATAAGCGTAAAATAAAGAAAAGGAATAAACTGCTTAGACTCCACAATTTGTGGAATGCGGCAATGCATCGAACAGAAGTTAGCGGAAAATCATATCTGAAAAAGAGTTTCAGAATGGTTGAAAATAGATTTAAATTTGTTTTACGTAGATGTGTTTGTATTTGTTTCTTTTTTTACATTTCGTGGTAGAAAAGCTTTAAAATATTTGTATTGTTAAACAAACAATCCTTGGTTATTAAGGTACTTACGTCGACATACTGATAAAAAACTAGCACATTTTTGTCACGAGCTCTTTGTCTATTATATAAATAATATTCCCTATTTCTTGCGTATTAAACGCACAATTATTAAAGTCGAATCATAATTTAATTATTTAAAAATAAATATCTTAATATCACTCGATGTAAGTACAAGCTTCCAATCCAAAGCAAAAATATTTTGGTGACGAATAGTTTTTGAAAATCGGAATAGGCAATATTATCTACGTCTAAAAATACCTGAAGTAGGTATATTAATGAGACAACATTTTTTTGTTGGGTCTTCTAACATACAATAGCTGGTTTTATGTGTATGCTGTAGGTAAGTATGTATAATTATATAAATGCAAGAACTAAAACGTGACAAAGTTTTTAATTATTAAAGACGTGAAAATCGCCAGGTGCGAGTAGGAGGGATTTCAGTGGCCCCCATTTGACCGTTGATTGCCGTATTTGGTACTGCTCGAGTCTAAATATGGCTCTGGCACTGCCCACCGCCCCGCCACACGCGCGCACGCTCTACTTCCGACTCTATTATTTCTATTTACGAAATAAACTCAAAATAAAAGCTCTATTTTAATACAGATTTCGGGCACTGAAACGTTTCGCGGGTTCCCGGTTCACGTTCGCTTTTCCAACGGATGTGTCGGGTTACGGCAGCCTTTATATCCCCATCTTGCTCGTAATTGCACTCTCTCGGTTGTGCGAGAGCGAGACAGTTAGAGGTGGAGGCGCGCGGGACGGAACCGCGCGAAGTCAGTTGCGGTCCGAGCGGCCGAGTCGTCAGTCCCGCCCTCGGTCCTTTCGCGTTTTCGGTCAGTCTCCGTTCGACGTTCGGACGGTGAGGTGTGTAAAGCGCAGGTGCGCACCGGTTACTGTGGCGTACTGCGAGGTTATAATGGACGCGCCCGGCGGAGCGCGGGAGCCCCGCTTCGGGTCGCCGTACGGTATGGGACTCCTTGGGGAGATGCCGGATATGTACGGCGCAGGCCGACCACCAAGCTCGCTCGGTGGCGGAGCCCTAAGGCCGGGCATGCAGCCGTGTCCGATGCCTCGGCCAGGCGTGAAGAGGACATCTGACCAGTGTTATGATGAGCGGCCTTCTCAGAGTGTCGGTTTGGAACACTGCGCCATGCCTGACATAGCAGATGATGGATATGCCTCCTTGCAACCCAAGAAGTCTCCACCGTCCAACGGCAAAAAGACCAAGGGTCGTGTCAAGATTAAAATGGAATACATTGATAACAAACTACGGCGATATACGACATTCTCGAAGCGGAAGACTGGCATAATGAAGAAGGTGGGTTGCGGAGACTGTTTTTGGCAATATTCCATGTGGGTTATCTGGGGAATACTGTTTGTGAACATCTTCCAAAAACTGTGAAAGTGTATGTTTTTAGTTTAATTTATAGTGATACACATTGTTAGTGACATATTTAAAATTAAGATATTCGGTCTCAAGTGAGTTTAAGTTGTGCGAATACCCATTCCCAGTAAAATCTTACAATATTAATTATTTTAAAAAGTATTACATGATAACATACTTAATCTTTAAATCACTCAATATAAATTTTATGCTTTCTTATTAGTTTTCAACTGGTATTAATTAATTTAAACATTTCTTTCTGTTTGGCAGCGGGACGTTGAATACACATATCAATGTATTTTTATTTATTTAATGTACATAATAGAAGTACATGAATACTTAAACTTAAAAGTATACATTTGCCTCAGAATGAAACTAAGAACAAAAAATAATTCATTCTGGAATCAACATTTTAGACCAGAATGAAAATGTAAACAAAGTAAATTAAATTAACATTTTATACAGTTTCTAGAGATATTGTAAGTGTAAATATATCAAAATTTAGGCAGAGTTTTTATCAGAGTTCATAACAATCTAAATAATATTAAATACATATATTATTAATAATGTTTATTTGTGATCATTGTTTTGGTGTTGAGGTTATGTTTTATTGATGGAAGAAAACATGGAATATTGCCTGAAATATGTCATAAAATCATGTTTTATCTTATAATGCGAATATTTGCTTGGGCGGTGAACCGAAACAGTGTGTTTTTAGTTGATTTTTTGGGTATTTTGTGACCATTTGTGTGAAAACTTTGACAGGTGTCAGCTGATCTGTGGTAAGAATTTCATATGTTACAGAGCATATTCCACTTATTGTGTAATACTATTAATGCATGTCGCTTTATATTTATTTAATGAATTTATTAACTACTATAATTGGTACAATATTTACGTTTCTTTATCAAACAAAATATCCCCAACCTTCATATCATGTGTCATAATTTAGTTCCTTGCGCTTTGCAAAGATGGCGCTGGATGTATCTATCCGGACGGAGTTCGGAATACAAATGGGGATGTTCGTAATGATTGAAATATGTGGATGGATGATTAATCGGCTTGCGCTTTCAATCGAATAAAACTATAAATTATCAAATAATTTAGCTCAAGTTTTTGAAAATACTGTCTTGGATGTTAAAGCAAAGTCGTATTAGTTTTTGAACTAGTGTTTTGGTTTGTATTTGATTAATTACTATTTCCAACTTAATAAATTAGATTTAATAAATACGTTTTAAGTTTATAAAAACGTATCGAAAAAGAAAACATTTTGCGTCGACCTCATATAAAAAAATTGAGGACATGGCATTAAAATGATGATGAAATACATTAATTTCATGATCATTAAGTTTGTACCACCAGAAATAAAGAATAAACTTAATAAACATTTTAAATAACCAGATATTTAAATTACGATTATTTATTATTATGTAAATTCATTTGATATGAAATTTCATATGATTTATGAAATAATGGACGCCATTTTTTTTTGTTTGTAAAATTATAAAAAAAATGTCTTGACACATGCCAAGTTAAAGAGTAAAAAAAATTTTGGTTTCTTATATTTTCACGCACACTATCCATAAATTAAACAACTAAAAACGGTTTTTTAGTTTTATTGACATTTCGGTCCCTTTATAGTGTTGATAAGACTTAGGTGTTTTGATTCTCTTATGTCAACACGGAACCTGTAGAGTCCGGAAATTTTTATTTGCACTAGTCAATTTATAAAAATTGTACCCATTTAATAATAATATACACATGTTAAGAAAAACGTTTTTATATTGCTGAGTTATTAGTTTTCAGTAAGGTTATTATTCAATACCATTGGCGTTTGCATTTGAGACCATTAGTAAATGTATCCAAAAGCGCTTCCTATTTCCATACGAACATACCAACGTAAGCTTCATTAACCAGGTAGACATTGTCAATCTGTACGTGTAGACGTCTAGGCGGCCCGTGTAGGGATGTCCGTCAAATCCACCATTAAATCCCTAGCTGAATGATAAGTGGCTAACGAAGACGACAGTTTACGCAAACAGATCCATGAACTCTGAATGGATGATCATACATCTTTTGCGTCTTCCCTCAAAGTAATCGCATTCATGCCTACAAGTTATTTCCAATATAATACTTTGAAAGAAGCAGCGAAACCGTTAGATCGATTGTTACGAAATTTTATAGGAAAGGGAAGAAACTTTTTTTTTAACTATCAATAATACACGCTTAATTTTAGTAAACTTAAATAACTTACTTTAGTAACATTTAGTTGAAAACTGCTTTGCTTTATGCCTCTTGCAGCATCAATTAGTAACAGTTTGTAACAAATTGCCCATATGTCACTATTTGAGGCGACCAATGACAAATGTCTATGCTTTGATTCTTAATTAACCACCATACGTGATGTTATGTGTAACTTATCCCATTTATACCTGTGATTATTTTTTATGCGTGATATTATGCCCTATGTTTATGTAGTATTCCCATAATTTCTAATTTTGAGGTTTTATTATACAAATGAGTAAATAAAAACACGGTAGGAGAATTTCTAGGGCAACACGTCGGATCCTAATAATCGCTTTTATCTTACACTACATCTTGAGTACACGCACGCAAGCGGTCCTGTCGCGCAGCGGGTATCAAAGTCGCCGACGATGCTCTGTTGTTACTTGTTAGTTGGACGCGCCCGCGCATCCGTCCGGCCTCGTTATTCCGTATACCTTTTTATTTACTCGATGCAACGGGTTTGTAATTAAACTTGCGCCTTCTCCGTTTTCAGTTAATCCGAAATTAATTAAGGTCCTCATTATTTTATTTGGAGACATTATTTGAAAGCAGAAGATTTTGCCCCGATACACGTTTGTCCACTTTCAATTAAATACCTTTGTTATTTTTAAAATATATGTAATTAAGAAAAATATTATTGTTTCTTGCCAGTTAATTAGATTTATTATTGCAAGTCGAAATTAAATCCTTATATTGTAAAAAAAATAATGGGTACACTATATAAATGGTCTCATGACATATTAATTACATCTAATAATACCGCATTAGCATTGGCATAATTGACTTTAGTTACATAGATAGATAACACTTCAATGTATACACCAAAAATACGAATAAAACTAATCATAAACAAATATACTTAAGTGTCACAATCGGCGGACTTATCACTATATAGTGATCTCTTCAAGACAACCTTTCCAGACAACATAAACGTTTTCATATTTGATTGTTATTGCAACTATCTGTATATCAAACAGATCCTCGGTCAACTGATCACCTCGCGTTGCCAGACTTTAATTACGACGCCCCGGGGGCCGTTGGGCCGACACGACCGCATTTGTTGTCGGCATGCCGGCACCGGCGACTTTGTCGTGAAATCGCCGACAATATGTTGTTTCGCCCTTTGATCTAGTAGGGAACCGTCTGCTCTATCTACACGACATTTTCTATTCCTGACCCTTTTGCGGGAAACATTTGTTTAATTAATACAATTTATAACAATTTTATGAGTAACAGGTATCTATCTAAATGTTTACACCAGATTATTATTTGGTTTGATAGATTTTTTATATGGTACTATCTGTATTTTTGCATGCTTGGTCATATAACTAGCAGTTTTACCCAGTAAAAAGTTGGTCTATATCGATCTCTGGTCTCTCGACTATCTTTACAAAAAATCGTACTATAACAATTCAGTAGCGGTTTGCCTTTAATAATATTTGTATAGATATTAGGATAATAAAACTATGACTTATAAATTCCAAAGTTACGTTAGCACGAATATCAAATAACATTGAAATTAGTGATTTGCGTAATGCAATTGAAAAATCAATCCTTTTTCACTAAGAGTTTGTACAGTCGAATTAAAAATTGGGTAAGATTGATTGGTAAAACTGTAATGCCAAGAGATTTATGGTTAACTAATAAAAAATACTAATTCTAGTAAATATTGGAATATTTATTCATTCCAAAAGTTTTTTACATAAACTCGTTACAATATTGTCGAATATAATATCGCTTAATAAAGAATGAATATGGCACAAGTCTTGTTCCTATTAAAGTCTCCTATTTTATCCCTGCATTATATAATGATGGTCCTCATTGTTTAGCGCATTTCTCCAAAGCAAGAGAATAAATTATACAGTCCGATATAGGCGTTCCGATATAGTCCTTAAAGAGGACATTTTAATAAATTTAAAATAACGATTATCGTTGTCTGGCGGAGTCGTGATTTCGTTAGGTTCGTGGTTCGGTCTAGGGCCGGAATAAGTCGTCACGAGCGATTACTAAATTAATTAGGACCTAGCTCGGATGTAGATTGCGGTTCAGATTATTTTCCCACACGACCTGACGACGTTTAGATCTCGAGATTTTGTTTGTGTATTGTTTTATGTGTGTACAACACGAGAGCGCTATTTGTCGAGTAAAACACAGCGCGTAAATAACATTATTTAAAAGTATGTATATACGCCATAACTTTCTATATCTTAATTTCTAGAAGTCAGTATCGTAACCAATGTTAAAAGATACAATAAAAATATTATTGTTATTCCGATAGCTGTATCTCATTTAAGCTTTTGATTACAAACATTAACCTTCCGAAGCCTTAAAACGCAACAGTTACTTTAAAAATTTAACATTATTATCCGTCAATCTCATTAATCTGCGGACGATTTGCAGTGAGTCAGCGCAGGTTGTTCGAAATGAAACAATTATATGTTGCGCGTTCACTAATTACGAGGCGGCGCAGCGGCGCGAGCGCATCTGCGACCCATATCTCACGGCTCGCGGTTTTGTAATGCTAATACGGGCAGTCTGTGTGGCGCTAGTTTGTATTTCGGTGGCTATACCAACGCCGTAAGATTACCGATAAAGGTATACAGATTGGGTTTATGGCCTTCTTAGTTCAATGTAAAGCACTGGAGGGT